AACCAAAAATGTTTGCCTTTGAGTCTAAAACAAAATTCTAAGTATATTTTCCTTCTAAATTCACAATACCTCTTTTTTCTCTCTCTTTTTTTCCAACCCAAAGTCACTCTCTTCTCCTGATCTCCAGGCACCAGGAAAGTGGACCGTGTGAAATGTGACCCTCACTTACTGACACCACCAGGCTGGGCCCTTCTGTTGCCTGATCACCAGCAGAATGGGCCCATCTGGGTGTGAGTCTGGGGCTAGGGGCAGGGCAGAATGTAAGCAAACTTGGCCTCCTACAGTCCCTGGGGCTGGCAGTCCTGGGCACAGCAGAAGCAAGGCTAGGGGACAGCTCCCACCTGTACGCAGGGGCCGCAGTCTCCAGTCCGCCTCTCTGGAGGCCTCAGAAGCAGCGGTGCCACTTGCCTCCATTCAGGAAGCAAGAATGCTCTGCCGCCTCCCTAAAGCGCCCAGCACACACAGTGAGGCGGTGTCCTCCCACGCCAAAGCCCTCCTGCAGCCGCTGGAGACACATCTTCGGGCCTTGCTATCACCAACACTTCCGAAACCTCTGGACACTATATGTAAGCACTGCTGACCTTCTGCTCCCCAAGAATCCTGTGCTCCCAACCATAGCAAAAGCATAAATGAATTAATTTCTCTAGCTCTTAAGAAGCAGGGGAGGGGAGGAATGGACTCATACACAGGGCTTTAGAAAAAGCTTGACGCCAGATGCAGCCTTAAGTTTTATACTCTCAGCTGTTTAGGACTAGATTCTTTTTTCCCGTGAGAATACAAAATAAGAATGTAAGTTATTTTCATAATTTCACTTAGGATTTAAGACCAAAGAACACTGAAAATTGGGAAGACTACCATGTATGTATTCCATGTAGAGATTGACACACATTTCAAGGCATTTACTGGAAGGAAAGGAAACAATTTTAAAGTAGAAGGTAATTTTTGTATTTGCTTTTCTGTTTGCATGGCGATTTTTGTTTCTGAAGGCCTCTGTGTCTATCAACTATGCAGTTGTATTTGTGGCCTGCAAGCAGCTGTCTAAACCCTGAGGACAGTTGGAATGGTAACACAGGAATTCTCTGCAACTGCAGAAACCACAGCGCCTCTTTCATGGTAGGTTCTGAAACACCCTTCACACACCAGACAAAGGCATCAGGCGCATGAAAATCAAACCTCTCTCCCCAGCCTTTGTCAGCAATTATGACCAAAGTGTTGTTATTTTCATTAAATTCATTTATATCATAATTTATATTTCTAACTGGGATAACTCAATTTAATATACTTTTTATATTAAAAAGTACATTTTTCAATTCCCAGTATTCCTCTAGAACATATTTTTTGTTCTGATATAACCTGATTACACATTCTTTAACATTTGGATAAGTATGGATTTTACTTTTAAAGATTTACCATATAACTCATACATTTGAAGCAGTGATTTATGGAAATAATACTCAGAACCGTTTTCCTCAAGAGTTGTAGGAGATTCAGTGCCCACAAAGAAAGTTTCAATATTTCCTTTGTACTTTAAAGGCTTTACCTTCTTTTATTTTTTGGCCTCTCTTTGCTTGCCTGGAACACTTCACTCTTAAAGAATCATCTACTTGTCTGTCTGCTTGAAATTTTGTTGTTTTGGAGAGAAAGCCAGGGGACTATTGTCTTACGGCTACAGGTTATTAATAAGCACGGTTTCCAAGATAGAATCCCTAGACAGAAAGAGAAACCATATTTCTGGCATGGACAGTAACTTTTTACTTTGACATATGGTGTTCAAAATGGCTTTTATTGGCTCTCATTACCCTCTCATTTGGTCATGTGTCTTCATTCACATGGCAGGCACTGCAGCTACGTTTTTAGAAGCCCTACTATGAGCCAGGCATTGGGTTTGGCAGAGATGAGGATTCTGACCTCACAAAGCTCACTGTTCAATAGAAAACACAGTTATCACACAGACATCATACAAATGACCACACAACTATAACAATGGTTTTGAAAAATAACAGCACTGACAGGCAGCCCCATTTGGAATAAAGGGCTCAAGAAGGATCTCTCCGGGAAGGAACAATGTTTTCTATCACTTATAAAACTTTTTAAAAGTATCATACCAATTCCAAAGTAAGGCGGGGTATGAGAAAGAGAAGGCTCTGGGCCCAGACAGAGCTTACTAGAATCTCTAATACAACTACAGTGCCTTGCACAGCTCATGGGGAAGAAAGTGATTCCCATAACAGACTGTTACACTCACTGAATAAGAAAAACATAACACATTTATCTGGGATAGAAACTCAATAAACTATGGGCATTAATTAACTTAGAATTCATGCTATAGTGTTTGAGCTTTCATGTTAAAAAAAAAAAAGCTTATCTTCCATACAGAGTCCTATCTTTACAAAAATATTCAACTAAAAGCAAGAACTCCAACATCCATTTAAAAAACAGTGTGAGGAGAGCAGACAATTTAGCTCAGTGGCATAAGGGCCCTCCCGGCAAATGCAAGGTCATGAGTTTGATCCCCAGTACAAAAAAAAAAAACCAAAAAACAAAAAACCTGGGTGAGGTTTGTGATTTTTCTTTACTCCACTGGTAACATTTCTTTAGAGACCTGGTGCATGGACACAATAGCTTTTGTGCATGTACACAATAACTTTCCAGCAGCATTAGAAAAAGATTCTGCATTAGAGCCTTTCAAACAGTGAACTCCCCTAGAGCAGATGAGTGTTTTTTGGGTCATTAACTGGTTGACTGAGGGGGAACAGCCCGAGCCCTTAGTGGCAGCTCAAATTCACTCTGTAGTGCAGGAAGCATTTCCCATCCCTTGTAGAGCTTCCCTCATTCTGGACTCTCTGGTACCCACAGGACAGAGCCAGTCACATTTGCACAGCCTCGTTCAGACACTTTCACTGCCAGGCTGTATCTGGAGGGTTCCACCTTTCTTCTCTGTGCTGGCTTGGTCAAGTACTCTTCAGAGTGGAGGCCAACAGCCTGGGATGGTTAACTTACTGTGTCCATGTGCTAAACTGGATCAGCACAGTTCTGGGTGTGGCTGCAGGGATTCACTGAAAACAGAAGACCCACGCTAGGGTATTCCCAGGTGTATGGCATACATGGCATAAAAGGGTAACCAAGAAGGAAAGCTTGCTTCAGATTCTTCAGAGGAGCTCCAGTCTTTATCTTCATTTTGGACATTGTCTTCCAGGGCAGACCCTTTGGCCTCCTAAAATGGACCTGCCTGGGACACTGCAGGCCTTCTTCAACTAAGTACTTTGGATCTCCAGCCCCTTGAAAGCCTTTTTAACTCTTCCATACCTGACTCTGCAGTGTAAGCCAATCTTGTAAACCCTTACACATTTATATATCTTACATTAGATCTTTCTCTAGTGAACACTGACTGATACATAATGCTCTTTCCATTTCGGGATAAGATCCAAGTGAGAAAGGAAAATAAGTGTGGTTTCTGTTTCTAAACTAAAACATGAATCATATTCCTTGGTCCTAAAAAGGGGGCCACATAACAGATGAGAAAATTGAGGCTTGGAGAGGAGAAGTGATTTGCTAAGGTCTTAACTGAAAGTTAGTGGCAGAGTTGGCTCCTTCCTCTCAGGGCCCATGTTTAGTGAACCCTCCTGTCCGCCCCTGTATTAGGCTGATCCTGGGAGGAACCAGGTTAATCCTGGACGGCCAGGTCAAGGAAAACTGTGTAGCTTAGGGTGACACTAAGCATTCCCTGGACTGCCACTGCCAGGTGGGCCAGCTGCTCTGTGCCACACTGCTCTGAGGTGGCTCTCGACTACTGTAGGCTTGACCCATGGGAGAGATTCCCAGTATACTGGCCTCCTATGAGAATTTCTGCAATCTACTCTAAAATCTAAGTGCACAAGATTCTAAAAAAGCTCCTGTCTTATTGCAATGAAGCCTCTGTGTTTCTCCAAGTACCCCTGCTTTGTAGAAGCTGTAAAACCCATGACTGAAATAGATAGGTCATGTTACAAAGCTAGGGACTGGTGTGGGGTCAAAGGTCAAGGGTTGCACAGGATTGCTCTAGAATAGTGTTTTGAGTAGTATATTCCTCAATTTAGCAAAAACTAAACAAAACATATTGGCTATATTCAGAATGCCTCAAGTTCAGGATAAAGAACCTCTCAGACTCAAACTGAAAATGAGAAATAACCCAAAGTCACTAACAGTGAATGGCACCCTTGAGTGGCCAGGAAACTGAGGCTATAACTCAGAACTGCTGGAAAATCACACCCAGGCAGTGTGGTTGGGAAGCAAAGAACTTCCCGGGTGGCTACTGAGACCTGAGCAAGTTGAGCCTTTCTGTGGGGAGCTCCATGCCAGGAAGACAGAGACTGGACAGGCAGAGAAGAGCCAGCTGATGTCTGCTCACCACAAGAATACATACATGGTCCCCCCCACATCCTTCCCCCATGGAGCCTTCTGGACAGCATGGCCCTCATCATGAGCTCTGGAGCCCCTCTGCATCACTCCACCAAATGCTGACATCATTACCTGAGTACTCATCTGTCACAATCATTTTTGCTTCAGTAGCATCCAGAAATGATCTGTTAAGACAGTGACCACAATTCCAAAGTACAACAGTACAGCTGGGGCAGAGCCAAGTAAGCAGTTGAGAGTAGAAGGAGAAAACAAACAATAACAACCCAACAAGTGCACTAAAAGGGAACACAGTCTAGCCAGTCTACAGAGAGCACTGCTTATTCCACACCAGCCCAAAGGCTTAGCAGTCACAGGACAGCGGTCCCGATCTAGGAAGAAGTAACTTATAGCTACAACATATGTTTGTATAATTACCAAAACGGAAGTGAACTAACATTTTTCTATTTCACATCCCAGGTTCCATTTCCAACCCAGCTTCTCTCTTAGAAACCTACGGACTCAAGTGTAATCCAAATTGAAAGCAAACTTCATCCTGGGTTCTGAGTGGAAATACTTTCTAATTCACAAAACACATGCCTCCGGCACAAAACTTGTCAACTTACTTTTTCCACGTCTAGATCAGCATCCTGCCTCTTCAGAAAACTGTAAAAGGAAAAAACAAAATAGTGAGACATCAGAAAGAGAATCAAGCACTCTGCCTGTAAACCACCCACAGAGTACCACCATAGAATGTCCATTTGTTACAGACAATCAATTTTCCCACAAATTTTTCTTTTGTTCACACAATGGTTGCTAAGTCGCAGTTGCCACGAACACTTGCCTGAAACTGCAAAGACCTGGCTCTGTACCACAAAGGAAGCCAGCACGAGATTTTAACTTTCAGGAGTCAGGAAAGATAAGGACAAAAGCCTTGAGTGTGCGCGCTTCTTCAGAGAAGATACAAGTCATTTGTTTGGGGAGTATATTAAAAATGAATCTTCCAAGATCTCACCCCATTTTCCTCTCAGCTTCAATGTCCCTCCAGCCACCAGTCTGTATGTATTCCTGTCTTAATGTGAAGCAAGTCTTCTTGAAACGACCTGTTTCCAACAACAAGGGTTCCCAGTTTGCCAACCCATCAGCCTATACCCACCTGTCTATGGAACTCCAGCCCCAGGATGACCTTAGAACCTTACGCTCATCCCTGACAAGGCTGAATGATGCTTCAGACAACATCCATGCCCACTTCACACTACCTTTAAAGTGCCAGGACCAAGATGACAGATTTCCAGTTTGTTCATGTATTCTCTTTACAAACTGACAAAATCACAGTACCTCATTTATTATTTGCAATTTAAGCTCAGCTGAATAAAGCCTCAAAAGCAATAAAGTTGAATGGACTTATGTTGACAATATTTTAGGGCCAAATGTATAAGGGGGTTTTGTTGAGGGCTCTCAAGTGGAAAAAGGCACAAACAACACAGTGGAGACTCTAACTTTTCAACATGATTTTTTAATCATTTTTCTTCCTGGCCCACAGTTAAAAAACTCACAACAAAAATTACTCTTGCCATCGAGACCATCCTTGGCCAAGAGAATTTTGCACTGTCTCAAAAGATGCACACTCATCAGTAACATATTTAGTCAATCTAATCAAAGATGACTCAGAATGAAGGAAGAGAACTACTAACTGATACACTGCTCTCCACAAATGGGCATTCAAATCATGAGCTCACCACAGGCGAGCAAGAGACCCACCATGGAGGCTAGGGCAGCGTGTGCGAAGCAGCATGGCATGCAGCTGGACCTCAGCAGCCCTCGTCGCCGTCTCTGCTGACTCCGCGCCACGCCAGCCTGCTCTTACCAAGGAGACATCGCAACAGGCACCCTGTCTTCCGGCAAATGAGCTGAAGACCCAGCCACTGCTACGATGCGGAACATGGGAAAGGCTCTGTCCAAAACTTAACTTGCATTCCTATATGAGAAACTTGATACTATACTAGGAGAACTTCTCCCAGTGAGAACACATTTATAGAAGTTTGACCTGCATTCTTAAACACATTCATAGAGGTTTGGAAAAGTCGTTGGCTTGATCTGTAGTTCGTAACAAGTTGTTTCCCACTGGCAAAGTAAAAGATTCCTTCACTGGCTGTGAAAAGAGCACCTGAGAATCAGATCCCTTTTCCAGCACTGGAAGGAAACTTAATATTCCTCTCCCGTACATGTGGCAACACTGCAACAACATGGGATGCCCGAGTCACAGCAGATACTGAAGGAAGCAGCCTGCACGCTCCAGCACTTTAGCACCTGATGCCAAGAGGAAAATAAAAGCCCATTTGGAGCTCCTGGCCCACTACTGCGCAGAGCGTAATCCATCCTTCCACATACATGGTACCTTCCCATTGCCTTTTCTGGACTGCCAAACAGATGGGTTAGCTTACAAGGACTTATATGCATCATTCTGCAGCCATCAACCCAAAGAATGATGCCACAGCCTTTAACCTCAAAGACTCCCAACAACATGGCACCATGGCACCAGCTCCACTGTTTCAAAGTAGCTAAGATTGGAGAGAAGGAACTGTACCAAGGTAAAGTTCCCATGGTAACCCCACTTAGAATGAAGAGCAGTGTCTGCTTTTAAAACCGTGCTTTTCTTTCTCATTTGAAAACTGTGCCTGCTAGGCATAGTGACCCAGATCTGTAATCCCATCACTTTGAGAGGCTGAGGCAGAAGGATCACAAATTCAAGTCCAACCCAAACAACCTAATGACTTAGTGAGATCCTATCTCACAACAAAGCACTGACTGTAAAGGCTTGGGGTTCAATTCCTGGTACTATGGGGCATAGGACGGAGGCTGTGTTTCTGAAAAGTTGAGACTAAATTAAGTTTTGGCCACCAAATGTTTAAGTGAAACAGAGATACTTTTTATTTAAAGGACAGATTCTTTTTAAAAGATCATTTAAAAAAACACCTATCCTAATTTATATGTATTCAAAACCTACCTTTTTTAAATCAAATTTTTAGGTTGCCAAGATTTAAAACAAGGTGGGACTCTCTCACTCCCCTGCGTGGGCATGTGTGTACAGATGTACATACGAATATGAATCATACAGGCATTGTAGCTGCCTACAGATTCATCTGTGGGCTTTGTGGTAAAAGAGCTTTTTCCATGCTATTATTCTTCCTGCTGAAGTGGTGCTGATGCTTTGACAAATATAACTAAAGTGACCTGGATGCCCTAGTAGAGAAGCTGATCATAAATGCTGCAAATGTCTTGGCTGACTACAGGAGTGGGAGCCAAAGGACAAGACGTGGACCAAAAATGAACAACTCTCAACTTTAGATCAGATCAGGCTTCTATCTTTGGGTGAATATACAAATACTCTAAACCTAGATCTGAGCAATCCTCAAGTCGGCATCCTTCCTTGGCAGAGTTGACCCTCCAGCCCCCACTGTTCTGCTTCCAAATGCCCAGGGAGAACATAATCAGGACGCAGTGAAAGGAGCACTGGTCCCAGGTTCCATGAATACCAGGAGGCCTGGCAGTGCTACAGGGGAGAGGTGGCTGAGAGGACGGGAGCAACTTGTGGGGACAAATGTGAGAAACTGAGGCAGGGGTCAGATGTGAGAGAAGGTATACACCAGCTGAGAAGTCAGCCAGGGTTTAAAGCACACATCTGCACTGTACCACTGTATTTTCAATCTATTTCTACCTCAGAGATGTGGTCCCAGCATATGTGTGGCACCGGGCCTGGGCGTGGTCATTCCCACCTCACCAACTCTGCTGGTAAGTTTAATTTTCCTCTAACCCGCCGTCAGAGCTCAGCTCACAATCTTCTCTTCATTCTTGTTTTCCTAGCTCACGCTTCTCTGTAGAACTAGCTTTCTTCTCTGCTGTGTTCTTACTACACTTAATTCTGGGGCTATTTCACTGTTTCCCCGATAGAGCGTCAGCTGCTCAGTGGCCAGAAGGGCACTGAGGGATGGCAGGGAATGATGACAGGGCTACTAACAAACCATGCTACTGCTTCACGAGACTGTGTGTGTGTGTGTGTGTGTGTGTGTGTCTGTGTGTCTGTGTGTGGTTTGCAGGGGAAGAGCTATATATATCCAAAGCACTGACCACATCCACATATTACGCACACTTAACCACAAGATGACCTTCCTCTTTAAGTGTAGTCCTGGGGCTTTAGCTTTAAAATCACTGACAGAGACCCAATTTGAAGATACTGCTATTATTTTAATATTAACCAGTGATTCCTGTTATTTGAAAAACACATTCAAAAAACAAATGCATTATATCAGGGTCATGGTCATATTTCACACATGATGTAGTAGACTTCAGGCTCATAAGGAATCCAAGAGCTAACTCATCACTTGGGTTTTTGTTTATTTTTAGAATGGGAGCTTGAGAGAAAACTCAGGTATGCTTTTCTCTGGTCATAGTATCTTCTCTGCTTCCAAATTCAACCTTTTTTACTACTGGCAAAAGATTTAAAATATTGATTGACCTGCCAAAATGCATCTGCATATAACTGGACATGTCAGCGCACAGTGCATCCAAATGGCTTCCTTCTACTCCAGTGACCGTCACTCTGTTCACTCATAACTAAAGTGGGGACCTCAGAGCGGTGCGTGGTGGGATGGCGGTGGCCACAGAGGATAAAATAGCCGTTGACAGCAGCTTCTCCATCAAACCTGTCAACAGGGGCGAACGTTCCTCAACTTAGGATCCAGAGCACAAAAAAGACCAGGCAGGGCCAGACTCTGCTATAATTCCAAAGAAAGCCGAGACACATAGAGAGTACACAGAGCAGCTCCTCAGTGCTCTCTTGCGAAGGGGTGGCCCTGGCTCCCTGCCTGGAGCCCGGGAAAAGGCCACTTTCACAGTGGGCTCCCGAGGCCTGCACAGCTGCAGACAGGCATGCAGTGTGTGGATCATCCCTGCTCGAGTCACTCCGATCCCCTGCTCGCTCAACAGCTGGGTCAGCCCCAAAGAGAAGACCAATTCAGACAAGGACCTTTGTTGCAGGGTATTTTTGCACCCCTTTCCCCCAGGAAAAATGTTATTTCCCCCAGCCATTCATTCCGGCCTCAGACTAACTCATTTCCTCATGTGCCTAAACCTTCTAAAAAGAGTAAAGATGATGCTACCGTAGGAGCATCTTCAGCAAACCAGCACCAAAGAGAAAGCACAGTCTGACAGAGCACAGTAACAGGGCTGGGGAATGCCCTCCTGTCTCTGGCATGGGGAGGCGGGCACAGGACCCAGCCAGTGCTATATGTGCTAAATCTCATTTATATTATATAAAATATTCACTTTGCCTCTTTAAAAAGGTAATACATGCTCATTTAAAATTTGTAAGAAACCCACACTATGCTGGAGATTTTTCCTGCTGGTCAGGCTTTCTGTGCAGATAAAAATGTGCATGCTAACTGTAGTCCCTCCATCTTGCATGCCACAAAGGAGCATACACAGAGCTTCTGATGCAGGCAACCAGGAAGGCAAGGATCCCAAATGAGAATATGGACCCCGTACTATGAACTCCAGGCTTCATTCGATTAGGGGAAGGCACAAATGGAGCCTCCACCCTCTAATGATGCATTGCCACTGACTAGGAAGAGTACATTCTAAAACAAAGGATTCTGGTCTACAGCCAG